TAGTGATAGCTAAGATCCTCACTTAAGCGCTTTCTATTCATAATAGCAGCAAAGTTGAATAACTTCTATCATAGATAATTTCCTATTTACCTTTTTTAAGCTGTAGCAGGGAAGAAATGCAAGGTAAAGTTGTTATCCTGGGTAGCCTTGTTTTGACCAGGAACCCATCTGAGGTTGAGGGTCTTTCCTTGCATCAAAAGAAAGCTGAAGTGTTTCACTAGGGTTTAAGGTTTTTCATAATTAAAAAATAAAAACAACCTAAGTTGTCATTCTTCCTTTCATTATCATTCCTTACCATACAAAAGTTGCAAAAAAATTAAAAATTCTGAAAATGTATCAGTGTATTATGCTTCCACAGGCAATGATTTTGCCTTGTCTTTTCCACACATGTTTTGTATTTTTATTTGAGTATGAGAAAAGTAGATATTTAATATCCCTGTGCAGTGCAATAAAATTGTTTTCCATTAGCTTTTCATGAAATACAATACACTTAAAAGACTGGGAGTGGGAAAAGAGATTAAAATAGAATTGAAATCTGTTGCCTTAAGACAGCTTCAGTTGTTTTATTTTCTTGGCGTGTATGCATAACATTAATTAAAATAGCTAAGATTTATAAACAGAACAATTCCTTTTTTTTTTTTTTGAGAGGGATATTTTTTCTCATACCAGCATCTCGTTTAAGATGCTTAGAGACAAGAATGTAGCCATTTCAATAAAAAATAATTTTGAAGTTAAAAATATGTTGGATGATATTCCAACTTTAAGTAGGGAGCAAAGAGTTAAGATAGGAAGAAGAGTGACCTAGCAGAGTTGCTACTGATGAGGCACAAAGACCTACAGTTTCTGTCTTCTGGTTCCTTGTGTCCGAGCCACTTCCAAATCTTGTAGCTTCCTTCTTAACATTTTCAACATCCTTTATTTGCTTTCATTTCACTTCTTAAGAATGTAAAATGTCATATGCATTTGTTTATTTTCTCCTTCTAGTTTGTCCTTAAACTGTCCTTAACCACTTTAGCATATGGTCAGTATTACACACTGTAAAGGCATTTAGCACATTGAAAGCTCCAAATAAAATGAAGGACATTGGGGGAAAATATTTTTATGTAGCACATTTTGTCTTAGCAAATGTAATGCACTCTTCACCTTCATCTTGCCATTATAAATATATAATTGAACCTTGGTTTTTGCAGAGTCTCTGAAATTAGGATTGAATTTCATGAGTCATGGTATAAGAGAGTAGGCCGACGTCTTATTAATCATGTATCTAAAGGTAAAAAGTTTCCTGCTTGTGCCAAGAGGTAAATGCCAAGTTTTCATTGCATGCTCAGCATCACTGAGTCTACCAGTCCTTCCCATGAACTTGCCTTTGCTGGTCTGCCAGAACTTGGTTTTGGTATCCTTTATGCTAATTCTGTCTGTGAGGAAAACTGTAGGCAAGGATGCTATCAGTGTTTCGGCAGCTTGCGAACCTCTTTCTTTGAAAGCTAGCCATTTTCTTTTTCAGTGTTCTTTCTGAATTAATTGCCTGTCAGACCTCCACATCTGACTCACTTATCTTGAGTTGTCCTTAGCAAATACTTATCTGTTAAAGAGAAGAATTCACTTCAGTATTGGTGCAGTCTGCCTGAAGCCGGTGTTCTGCAATTGCAGGATCTGGCAGGGCTGTATGAACATCTCTTCTCATTTGGAGGTTATGCTAATCATTGCAGATCTAAATGACACCACAATTTGGTCAAGCTATTATTATTTACACCCAAACTTGGGATATACCTGTGGAATAAACAGTAATAGCAGCGTTGCTGCGCAGAAAGCTGGAATGAAGTAGGCTTTGTTCTTGCTCGTTTGTATTACACCAGCTGCAGCTGTGCAGTTTTAACCTGGAGGAGAAAAAGTAGGATTACTGCGTAAGAGTAGCGGTATCTGAACTATACAAATTGATGATGGTTTAGAGAATTAAAAGAGAAAGTTAAGATGAATGGTCTCATTAGTATGTTACAAAGTAAAGCAGGACTGTATTGCCCAATGATCACACTTTCTTTGTTGTGTGCCTTGCTGACAAAATCTATTATTTTAATTGTATTACCTATATCATACTGCTCTAGTAAAGATTAAAGGGTAGCTTCTGTGGCAGCGGGACGTAATAGCATGACAGTGGAAGTTGCTTCTTGTTAACTATAGAGTTGTAAAAGACTACTTATGATCAAGAAAAATTATTTGTATGTGCCGAAGAGTGTTTTACTGATATTTAGGGAATCTGGATTTTGTATTTGAACTTGAGGATATCTTAGATGGATGTTTTCTATTACTTCATTTCAAACTTCAGTTCTGAAATTAAGATTTTAAGGGATTGGGTACAAATTGGGGGGGCAGGGGAGATTCTAAGCTGAAACTTGCCTTCTACGATCAGGAGCAGGTATATTGCATTTCTTTTTTGCTCCAGTGTTCTGCAGGATTGGCTGTGTCTTATACTGTAACCTACAGGTAGCAAATTTGGTTAGAAATATTGGTAGAGTAATGCAGCATGACAGAACCTATTTAGTTGCCTACCTAATGTGAGAATGTTGCTTTAAAAGCAGACTTTTATCATGTGGTCCCCCTATTTACATAACTGTGAGATAGAGAGAGATTATACACGCACGCACGCACACACACACACACACACCCATTTATATAGGTATCAATGTCTTCAGAATAAATGTCCTTGACCTTAATTGCAATGACTTGGAAAAAAATATTTCAGTTGAAGTTGTCTGTATCCTCTCTCTGAAATGGATGGGAAGTTCAATATCTTGGTAAACTACCCCGATGCGCTTCAGGCATGTCTGAAAGATTATTCCAGTTTTGGCAATATAATTACTGTTAATGCAGACTGTTATTGTGGAACATCACTGCATTTTATTTGGTGCTGTACGTTACTGAAATTGATCTCAATTCTATTCAAAGACACTTTATTAGCGTAGAGTGAAGTTAAATAGATTAATGAGAAGGTATAAAGCAGTAAGTACATGGGAACTTTTGCAGGGATAAGAAATTGAATTGATAAAGTCTTGTCTCAGCAAGCTGCTTTCACTGGAAGTCACTGAGGTTTTTGATTCAGGTTGTTAGTAACGTGTTTACTGAGTGGACAATTCTGGAATAAAGTGTCTGTTGAGCCTTTCTTGCACTCATCTCTGAAACGCTTGGAAGGATCAGACCCAGGGCCCTGGGCCAAGGATTAGAGCTGGAACGGCACCGTCCGCGTTCTGTCGCTCGCTCTGCATCTGTTGCCAGTGTTGCAGCAAGCTTAAAAGGTTAAAAACTTTGTCCGTTCTAAAGCTGTTTTTTTAAAGGGGGAGGGTGAAAGTATAATTTAGTATGTTTGGGAAAAGGGCTGCTTTACTGAACTTTTAAATTCTCTGTGCTATTTTGTATGTGTGTGGTTTTTTTCCTTTTTAATAATTACCTTTTATATTAGAAGCTTTATTTCCAACAAACCAGAGTTTACTTGGGTAAAGTAATTGGCTGGTGTGTAAATAGACTAGTTGGCTGTAATTAGATTAAGTGGCTGAATAGGGCCATACTTTCAGATGTAACACTGGAGCATCTCTCCTGTGAAGAAAGGCTGCGAGAGCTGGGCCTGTTTGGCCTGGAGAAGAGAAGACTGAGAGGCGATCTCATCAATGTGTACAAGTGTCTGAGCGGAGGGTGTCAAGACGATGGGGCCAGACTCTTCTCCGTGGTGCCCAGCAACGGGACAAGAGGCAACGGGCACAAACTGAAACACAGGAAGTTCCATCTGACTAGGAAGAAAAACTTTTTTCTATAAGGGTGACAGAGCACTGGATGAGGTTGCCCAGAGAGGCTGTGGAGTCTCCTTCGCTGGAGATATTCAAAACCCGTCTGGATGCGATCCTGGGAAATATGCTCCAGAGGACCCTGCTTGAGCAGGGAGGTTGGGCTAGATGATCTCCAGAGGTGCCTTCCAACCTTGGCCATTCTGTGATTCTGTAAAATTACTGTTTTAAACTGATGTTTAAGAACAAAACCTGTGTTTATTTCACCTGTTTCTAGTACACCTTGTTCATGGAAGGGTAAAAGGCCTATATTACAAGGTTGGACTCGTGTTAGTTTTGAGGGAGGTATGTATTTTTGGATAAGAGCATGGTTGCATTGACTTCCGTAAATGTGGATAATGTCTTCACTCTTTTTTTTAATGTGACACTATTTGGGCAGAATGAGGAAATAGCTAGATTATTGACTGCCTGTCGGTTATGTAAAATTACTATTGGGAGTGTAACAACTGAAACTAATCTAATAGCATAAGCTAATATCAATCCTTTGAATGGTTAAACTGGTTAACTTATTAAGGGTGAAGTAAAATATTTGAGAACAGGCTAAAAACTTTCGGTACCAATTTCACTCTGCTGAGAAAGGGAATTCTGTACGCTGTGAAAGTAAATGCGGAGCAGAGCTGCTGAGGAAGATTATCTGCAAAAGCCCCTAAATCGCTTGAGGGTTTTTAAAACTTTGCAACTGCTTTAAAATCTGTGTACAAGTTATTTGTTGATGCCGAAACTCCTGTATCAACACATAATTATTGATACTGTGTTGCTAGTGCATATATCTTGTGTGATTAGCCAGGAACATGGACTGGATATGTGTACATGAGAGCATTTTTCCAAGAAGAACTTATTTGCAATACTGTGTTATACAACTTCCATTATAATTCTGTCTTAGCAATAACAGTGTTCCTTAGAATGATATGTTTTAGTTATAATTTACGTATTTGTTTTTCTTCACAGGAAGCTTAAATAGAAAACTTTTGTTTATAAGCAATGGCTCAGTACCTATAGTTAATAAAGATCTCTGCATTTGTGGCTGAGTATTTCAGTAATACACAATATTAGTAAAAATAAATAAATAAAAATTTACAGTGCCTTCATTTTACCAAACATCTTTGAACAGCTTTTTTAATTTTTTTTTTTGTTAAGAAAGAATATTTATTTTCTTTTCTTTCCTAGCAAATTCTGAAATTGAGGTGTCTGTATCTGCAAGAAATGTCAGAAGGTTGCTTAGTTTCCAGCGATACCTGAGATCTTCCCGTTTTTTCCGTGGTATCACTGTTCCAAATTCTTCAAACATTTTAGATGATGATTACAATGGACAAGCAAAGGTTGGTTGCTTAATTTTTCTTTCCTAAAGGTGTTCTGCTTTTTTGTTTTGTTTTAAGTTCACTAGTGTACAACTCTCTCGTGGTAAGAGATACTTAGTGCAAGCAAATGTGAAGTTTGTGTATTTTTTTATTTATATGTGTGTATGTGTTTATATGTATATATGTATGTTTATATATATATATATAACGTATATATGTTACGCATATATGTGAAATAAGCCTGCTCTTAAAGTGATTTCTAACAAATTCCTTCCCTTTCCCCCTCAAGGTTATTGGGATGATCTTTAGAGCTTATGTGGCTAGCATTTTCTAGAAAAGAAAAGCGTGATAGCTGTAGTATACCTGTGCTACAGTGGAGTGTTTGCTGTAGCACCATACTGGGAAGACAGGCAGTACTGAAAGAGTTGTCAGCTGGCTGAAAGGCT